CGGATGTCGATGGCGCGGGCGGCCTCGGGAGCGGCGGAGCGGCAGCACCAGGCGAAGGCGCGGGCCACAACGCGGGCCCCGGAGGCGGCGGCGACGGCGACGGTCCGGCGGCGGCAGCGGCAGCGGGCGGCGGTGGAGCGACGGATGTCGATGGCGCGGGCGGCCTCGGGAGCGGCGGAGCGGCAGCACCAGTCGAAGGCGCGGGCCACAACGCGGGCCCCGAAGGCGGCGGCGACAGCGACGGTCCGGCGGCGGCAGCGGCAGCCGGCGGCGAAGCGACGATCTCGAAGGGTAGATGCTGGGGTGTGGGTAGAGTCCCCGCGGAGGGGGTTGGTGAAGCATTGCACTCCCACCTCCCCCCCGACGGCGGGAGCGCCGCCCACGCTACATTCGAGGTGTAGCACACGTAGCCGGTCCTCTCCTTGAGCACCTTAACGGTGACGTCGGCGTGGTTGTCCCCGGCGTTGAGGAAAAAACACGGCACGGCCCTGTCGTCCATTTTCGTTGCCGGCCGCTCCCACACGAAACCGTACTGGAAGAACGGGACCAAGCGAAAAGGGCCTCCCTTGCCGGTGTAAAGTTCCTGCGGCGACGCACCCCCGGGGTTGGAAGGAGATGCTGACTGGTTCAGTTTCTGCGCGGCGTCTTTTGCGGACTCCGCCCAGAGCTCATCGCCACGAACACTCAGCCCGCTGACACGAGAAAATCCTGCGGGGCCAAGCAGCTCCTGGGCGGCCCGGGGGGATGCCTTGGCCACCTTAAGGCACCTCTGGACGGCGCTCTCGACGACGCCGTTGTACTGCTGCACGCCGGGAGGGTAGTACTCGAGCGCGATCCCCATGCCGGCACAGAACTCCTTGAAGTCGCTGCTGGTCCAGAGGGCATCGCAGTCGCAGCGGATGCGCTTGATCGCGGTACCAGCCTTGTGGGCGGCATCCACGACCATGCGCTTGACGACCGCTAGCGCCTCCGACTTACGCCGCATGGCGTAGCAGACCATCCATACCGTGGCGGCGTCCACACCGAAGAGCACATAGTGGTTGCCACCGATCGTCGCCGTGTACCCGCCGCAGAGGTCGATGCGGAACACGTCGTTCGGCGCCCTCTTGCCGCGGTACCCGCCCCCCTGCTTCGGCACCGGCGCCCTCGTCCCTCGCGCCGGCAAGCACCATCGACAGCTGTCCATCGTGCCCGTGAGGGTAATCCCGTGCTGCTTCGCGGACAGTCTCAAAATGGGTTCGGACAAGTGGCCGGCACGGTTGTGGAACGTGTTAATATCCATAACCTTTTGTGCATTGCCGACATTGAAAGGTGTCTTCCCCGGACCCAACACAGCCATGGCGCGTTCACACTCTTCACTCTCCCACACATCAATCATCTTCGCCGAGTATTCCGCTACAGCATCCGTCACACAGGGGGATTCTAGATCGGAATCCATCGCGGCTGTAAGAGCCGATGCCACAAAGTTAAAAGGACCCTCACGGGCACTCTCATATGCGCAACGTCCATAGAAGGCAGGGATTTGTGGGGAAGGCGGGTTGCAAAAAGGGAATCGCTCGAAACGCCACGAATAAAACGCAGTTTCCCGTGCATCATTTGCGTACCGTTGGGGTTGATACGGACCTCATGCTTGTGAGACACCTTCCATACCGAGAAAAGGTTGAAACCACACCCGGGTACAAACAAAACCTCTGGCACAGTGACGTCCAAATCCTCCTGTTTCCCGTCGGCTCCGATTTGGTGGAACCTAAGGTCCAAACTCCCCACAGCGGCAACCTTGATGAGAGCCGAGTCTCCCATCTGAATAAATCGTTCATCCGGGCCCAAGTGGCGTACATTGTACATTGCATCCAGTTTGTTTGTAATCATCGCACTCGCTCCAGAATCGGCCTGCCATTGTTCGCTACCAATCGGATTCGGCATGGAGGGTTGGCACAAGAAAGCTTTCTCAACCGTGGGACAGCGGGTGAGACGGGCTACGACAACCTTTCCAGGCACACTTGGTGTATCAGGGACAGATGCATCACACTCCGGAACGCCGACCACTTCATCAGGACTCTCAAGTGCAGCGGGCACGCGGGGTACATCATGAGTAGACACACCAAACTTCAAGACACCGAACTCATCATCAGAACGTTCATGCACAGCAGGCACGCGGGGAACACCAGGCATTGACACATGAGACTCCGCACTCGTGAACACGTCAGACTTCGAAAAACCAACATCCTTTTCAAAACCAATCTCAGACTTGCCTCGAGGGCACACGCCACGTGCCGCGAAGAGGTGCAGGGGGGAATCGCCGGCTGGAGGTAGAGCGTCGCCTGGAGCTGGAGAGAGAGAGAGGAGGAGGAAGAGGTCGCCTGGAGTGCACCGTAGTGCTGCTGCTGCTCATGCTGCTGCGAGGTGTCGAAGGCCTCGTAGGCTCGCGGTTGTTGGGCGTCCGGTCCGGCAGCAGAAGGATAGTGTGGTACGTTGCTCACTTCTTGCTGCTGGTAGAG